ATAGTTTAATTGGAAAAGTGAAACAAGTGTTATCTGATCGGAAAAGAAGAAATCGAAAATACTGTTTTTTTCTACTGACCGTATCGTTCAACTTTTTTCTGACTGACAAAAAATTCTAAAAAAAATGTGTACACATACTTTTGTAGAGCTTTGAACGGCGGTTCGAATGGGATGTGACAGAAATTTTTAGGACGAAAACTCTAGGAGGAGATACAGCTACAAGATGATATAGGAAAAGTTCACTATGCGAATCTTAGATTTAAAATTTTCAATGAGTCGGACTTTAGCTCAAAGATTTTGTAAGGATTTTCGAAACAGGAGGTCGTTGTTCCTCCATTAATGGTGTTCAGTGGTTAGTGGTAGAATACTACCAGAAGCAGCTCCTTCATATCTCTACCGACGGGAGACTGTTGGAAAAAACTGAATACATTTCCCCGCCAACAGATGCCGTCCAATGGAGCGACGCTGAGCTCGTCATGAGAACTGAGAAAAGTATCAACCTGCATAGACTTCGGTAAACACATTTAGAATACAGAAGGCTTTTCTCCACGCTAACGATTGAATTCTCGAAGGACATAAGGAAAACGTAACTGCTACTCTTGACAGTACGCGAGTGAGGAGATTCACAAGAAAGTGGTGGATCTTTTGCTTCAGGCCAATGCAAGATGCAAATCGAGTATTTTTGCGAAAAACGATTGTTTTCTGTAAGTACTACTTCCCAATTTTTTAAAACCGTTTCAATAACATCCACCAGAAAGGCCATGTTTGAAACTATTGGCCTAGCACAATACAGCATTCCATGCGCCCTGAAAAGCTCTACCACATGTGTTAACTCAACATTAGTAGGTATTTATAACAGAGTCTAGTAGAGATTCTTTGAATTTTGTTTATATTTCAGATGAATTTCATTCTCAATTGGCAAAATCAAAAGGTGGTGTTCTAATTGGTAGTGATTTGAATCGAGTACAGTTTAATTCTATGGCAGCAAAACAAGAAGAAATAATTCATCAGAACGATTTATTGAGCAATAAATTATCCGACTTCGATTTATATGGAGGAGAAATTGTAGATGAAAATCAAACAAAACAAAATGATTATAGGTTTACTGATTAGAAATAAGATTGCCATTTTGTAGATTTCTAAATGAAATTATCTACTGTCGGCTATTTTGAGTGAATATGAACAACGTTAAAAACATTTGCTGAGTGAAAGTTACTAGTACTAAAGGATAAATCATATCTGATAGAATGAAAAGAAATACTTAATGAAGCGAAGCAGAATATGTGCAATGATATTATGTTCTAATCTCATCGTGTGAAAATGAAAACAAGGAATAATAATACCTTTACACGGTGTAGACTGACGAGGGAACCTTTCGAGGTGATTAAACGCTTTTTGCTCAAAATCTGGTGGGTTATAGGTTATCGACCATGCTGATTACGAATATGACCATGGGAGTTGCCATTAGCCCTTCGAAAGCTTGGTTTTCTAGAAAACCAGTTTTTTAGAAACTCTAAAATATATCCCGAACCTTTCTTAATGAAGCATGATTGTAGCCCGGACATTTCTGATTGAAATGAGACATCTCCCAGCTTTACACGACCTTTTTTTGCAAAGTTATAGAATTTACACGAAAAACCCTAAATTAATTTCTTCTTATTGCTGTAGCTTTGAGCTGACAATGAACATTTAGGGCTTCTCTTGTAAATTCTATAACCTTGCAAAGAAAGGTCGTGTAAAGCTGGAAGATGTCTCATCTTAATCAGAAATTTGCGGGCTACAACCATTCCTCATTAAGAAAGGTTCGCGTTATATTTTAGAGTTTCTGAAAAACTGGTTTTCTAGAAAATCAGTTTCTTCATTCTTCGAGGGCTAGAGGTAACCCCCATGGTCATATTCGTAATCAACATGATTGATAACCTATAACCCACTAGATTCCGAGCAAAAAGCGTTTAATCACTTCGAAAGGTTCCCTCATGAGTTGTATTACTTGTCCTGCCTTAACCCTGTCTTTCTCGAAGAAAATCACCTGACGAAACCGTTGAGAAAGGTCGAAATCGGTCGTGGTATCTTCTTTTGATTCTGACATGAGTTCTGTCTGAGTCTCTAGTAATTAAATAAACGGTTGTAAAACTAAAACTAATTTAAAAAACATTTATATATTGACGGGTTACTGTAAGAATGCGTCTATAGGCGATATTTGTGCTAATCAACAAAACGCTCATTCAATCAAAATACATTCGATGTTTGAAAAAATTTATCGAACATGGATAGTTTGATTTGCTCTACAAAATGGTAATCTTAGAAAGAGTTCGTTGTTGTTTTCTTTGTTTCCTTTTTCTCGAAATCGGCCTGCAGAGATCTACTCAAGATCCTCGTATCACTTGCAGTGGAGATTATGTTCCCGACTAGAATATTTGAATGGATATAACGTATCGTGTTTAACGTAAACGTCGTTTGATCACTTGGCAAAGTTGTTTTATCTATCAGCGTCTTACCACGGTAAGAAACTGAAAAGTTTAAGCGTTTTTTTGTTTATCGTTGTTTTCTCTTTAACTGTAATAGTTCGATCAAAGACAAAAAGTGAGTTGGATAGCTGAAAGAATCTCCAGTCAGGTAAGATGTATATGAACATTTTTGCAAAAATCACATCTCTGAATTAGAAAATCGGAAAAAAATCAAGTCACAGGCTTCAAATGAAAACTTTTTGTAGATAGCTTAGCTCAGCCAGAGCAAACATTTTTAAACAACAGTAGATATCACGACGTTTTGTCACCGAACTGCATCCACTGTGTATCATTAGAATAAGAACAAAAATAACGGTGAAAAAGACCCGATTGTCTTTCATCAATTTGATGCATTTCGATGAAAATCCGTCGCTTTAAATTCTTAGAATGATCATAAATTAACTGAAAAAAATAAGACTAAAATATAGTCATCTGATTAAAAACTTTAAGTTTAAATTTTTACTCTTCCTATGATTTATTTATAATTTATTAAATTATTTCTAACTTTGATGAAGTCTTCTTCAGACAAAATTGTAATGTGAGAAAACTATATTTTATATATATATATATATATAAACTAATGTAATTAATCATTTTTTGTATGTTTTCTTGACTTGTCTAGATATTGAATGAATGATAGGTGTCCATGTTTTAGTGATATATCGACGATTGATTAAATTGTTTCAGAGGTCGGGTTCGGGATCGAAAACTTGATTGACATCTCATTTTGTGTAGAATTGCACAGGTTAGCGACTGGTGTGGTTGACAAATTTCAAAATGAATTTCAAGATCTTTAGGTTTTCTAGAAAACCGAAGTTTTCAGAAATCTTTTTTTCGAACTCTGTTATGGTAAATAGAATTTTTTCATTGATATAGACAAAACTCAATGAGCTCTTTTATTTGAGACCAAATCCAAGGTTCTGCGGTTTGGATAAGTTTTACAAATTAGGTCAAATTCGCTGGAAAATAGTGAAAAATGCACTTTCCCGCTGGAAGGATAAAATGGCCATAACGTTTTTCTCTACAAAGAAAACTTTCTGGTAATTTTGTTCGGTTCAGTGAACTGTGTCGAATGGCAGTGTCTGTTTGACAAAAAAAAATCTCAACTTTTTAAGATGTACCTGGAGGAGACCTAAGGCGGTCGAAAATGTTTTTGTCGAACAGACACTGCCATTCGACGCAGCTCACCGAACTGATCAAAACTATCAGAAAGTTTTCTCTTTACGTCTCTTGATGGTTGAGTTACAGGTACTAACGTTCATGTCGCAAATCGTCTATAGTTTGTCAATTTTTTTCGTCTAAATTTAGGACGTATTTGTGGTTTATTATTTTGTTCTCGTTGTTGTTCCTATGATTCATCTACTCAAATTAATAAATCAACCGGTTATACACAAGAATCAAATCTTCGTCTATGTTCTTATTGTTCCTCGACTCTCAAACAACAACAAAAATTTTCATTATCTTCATCATCTCAAACTGCTCAAATTTTACCCACACAACTTATATCAAAATCAGATTTTTCAGATAGTACTTCCATTCCACCACTTCAATCACAATTATTAATGATGACTAATAGACAAGAATTAGGACAACAAAATTTAGATACAATAAATATTAATTGTACAAGTACGACTGACTAGTGATCGATTTTCCATATCACATAAATTAGACGAGTATGTTATGAATGATTGATTATTCGTCCTTTTTGCTTGACAAAAATTGACAACAAAGTCTATGTTTTGTGAATCAGTTCAAAGGCGACTATAAGGTTTTGACTACCTTCTTCAATCCAGTAGTGTATATATTGTCGAATTCTAATGTGCACCGTCAGAGAAAATTAAAGGTCATTCCTCTTTTTTTCGACTTTTTTAGAAATATTTTTTGAGTCAAATATTGTGCTTTACTTTGCGTTTATTTTTAGAGTTTAAAAAGATCTCACAACGTAGTTAAGTTGTGATTCGATATCATTTGCGCGAAATGAAAGTAAATTTCGATTCTTTTATCATTCTTGTCAATTTTCAACTTCAAATTCAGAGCTCTTCTTGTTAACTTTTAAACTTCAAGTTAACATTTCTCTCTCGTTCTTCTCACTTTTCAACTTCAAATTCACATCTCTTCTCTTCTTCTTCTCTCATATTCAGAGAAGGAGGAGCTCAATTCTACATTACATCTTCTTATTTCATTCAAGGTAAAGAATTTCTCGTATTTACAAAATATAATTTAGTATTTTCGTTCTAACTGTGCTTCTTATACCACAATAATTACAATAATAACAAGATTGACTGTCGGGAATCCCAGATCTAAAAGACGGAAATGAGAAAAAAAACTTCAGAATGAGAAAAACAAGTTGGAAATCAGAAAAAAAATCAGAATGTTGTTTGTTCTCTTATCCAAATGGTTAGTTGTACATAAAAAATTTTAGAAAAAAAAAATTATAAATCAAATTTTCGTTCAATATCAAACAAAGATTCTAAATAAGAAACGAGACAGAAAAAAGTCTCAAAATAAGATTTTTTCTGCTAAAATC